AGAAGGAGAAGGAGAAGGAGAAGGAGAAGGAGAAGGAGAAGAAGAAGAAGAAGAAGAAGAAGAAGAAGAAGAAGAAGAAGAAGAAGAAGAAGAAGAAGAAGAAGAAGAAGAAGAAGAAGAAGAAGAAGAAGACAGAAGGATTATAGGGTCCTTGGTGCTCTCTGAGCTTGGTTGTTTGTTGCAGATGTTTCATTACCCAACAAGGTAACACCATCAGTGCTAGAAAGGAGTGGAATTTGCAGAGTAGAAGAAGAGAAGAATGCAGAATATAGAATAACAGAGTTAGAAGGGATCTTGGAGGTCTTCTGTACAACATCTTGCTGAAATAGGAGACCCTGTTTCATTCCAGATAAATGACTGGCCAACCTCTTCTTGAAAGCCTTAGTGATGGAACACTCACAATTTCAGGAGGCAAACTGATAAATTATTCTCACTGTCAGGAAGTTTTGTCCTTAGTTCTAGGTTGGGTCTATCTTGAATTATCTTCCACCTGTTGCTTCTTGTCCTACACTCAGGTGCTTTGGAAAACAGGTCAATCCCCTCTTCTTTGTGAAAACCTCTCAAGTACAGGAAGATTGCTATCATGTCACCTTAGACTAAACATACTTCGCTCTCTCAATCATTCATCATATGCTTTAGCCCAAGGCTCTTCAAACTTGGCAAGTTTAAGACTTGTGGATTTCAACTCCCAGGATTCCTGAACTAACATGACTGTAGGAGGAATTCTGGGAGTTGAAGTCCACAAGTCTTAAAGCTGTCAAGTTTGAAGACCCCTGCTTTAGACTCCAGCGTCATCTTTGTTGCTCTTCTTTTAACTCTCTTTCTCAAAACTCAACCTCTTTTTTGTATCTTGGTGACCAGAACTTGACGCAGTATTCCAAGTGTGGCCTCACGTATCACTTCACATAATCTTGATGCTATCTCTCTGTTGGTGCAACCTAGGATTGCATTGGGGTTTTTTGGCAGCTGCGACACACACTGCTGGCTCGTAAGTCTACTAAGACTTCTAGATCCCTCTGTCATGTCTCCCCGGTCCTTCTCTTCACTAGACTAGCCATGCCCAGTTCCTGCAACCTTTCCTCGTATGTTTTAGCCTCCAGTCCCCTCATCATCCTGGTTGCTGTTCTCTGCACTCTTTCTAGAGTCTCAACATCTTTTTTATAGTGAGGTGACCAAAACTGGATGCAATACTCTAGGTGTGGTCTTCCACTCTGAAGAACTTTCACTCATCCCACTCTGGATTCTACTAAAGCAACTGTATACTGCATTTGGGGTTCCAGAGTGAAATGTTCTAGACCAGATACTTTTGCATTGTATTTTCTTCCTCTCCATTCCTCTCTTCTCTGACTATTTTTTTTTAACTATTACCATCTGGCAGATGGTACAGGACAATAATAAAAACAGGGGCAAATAGGCTGAAAAACAGCGTCTATCCCAGGGCAGTAGCTCTTGTAGTGT